TGGTTACTCATCAGACTAACAAAAGTCAAGAACTAAGATCTTTCCTCATTTGCATTGCGTTCTCATCAAGCTTTTCCTACACACCACTTTCATGAATTAACACTTTTTTAGGAATAAATGTTCTCCTAGAACAAGGATATCAGATTTCGTTAACTTTCCACATGATGTAGAAATTATCGCAAAAATAGCAATTCATTCCATGCAATAACTTTCTCTCTCTTTGATAACCAATCACTCGGATATCCCATTTATTTCCAATTAAGTTAGTAACTCCAAAGTTTCGCTGACATCAACAAATGTAAATCTTATCATTTAAACTCTGTTCAACGGACATATTTGCCACGATATTTTATTACTGTCTGTCTGATTAGCTCACATCCCTCAGCCGCAAACAACTGAGGTCCGTTTTCCTTGACGGAATTTTAGCAAAACCGTTTTTTTAAGAAATATGAATTGATCCATTTTCTATTTTTATCATCTTGGGTATTAAAAGGTTAGGTATGATAGAAATCAGTGCTTCGATATTTAAGACAAGTAATAACATCAAGATGGACTCACCTCTTGACCTTGAAGAAGTGCTGCCAGTTTCGGCATTAATAAATTCAACTGATTTTTGTTCCTCTCCATCCGAAATAGAAAATGAGCTAAAACGATGTTCAGCCTTCGCTTTAATCTCCACAGCATTCCGCCGAAGTATTGGAGCTGCCTCCGTTTTCATTGCCTCAGCTACAGAGGCTGGGTAGAATTTTGGGGTCAATAATCCTGATTGATTATTACCTTTCTGGTTATTCTTGTCAGGTGGGTTCGAAGATTTCACAGCAGTACTTTTCGTTCTGAGAGCAATTACCGGGGGCACATGAGATTGTGGGGCATCATCTGAGGCTAATAAATACCAAGGTCTAGCCATCGTCCAGGAAGTAATCTCTGGATCGCAATCCGAATCACTGAATGGCGACGCGCACTTTAAGGGCATTGGAAATTTCTCCAACTGATTGTTTTCCTTAGCATTCCTCGTGATGTCATAGGAAACTTTGATTATTTCAATTTTCTTTTTTAAGTTTTTATGCTCATTTTCATTATCCTCTCTAATTTCTTCATGTACCGACTCTCTAGGGGTTGTATTTTTAGTTGGAAGTTCCGTTTTTACCATCTCAACTTCTTTTCCTCTAATTTCTTTTAGTGAATCTATTACCTCTTTTGTATTCACTTTAACTGTTACTATGGTCGGCTGTGCAATTGGTCTAGTACTGGCTTTTTCAACGGAAATTTGATTTATAGGTCTTTGTGACCTAGGTTCAGCATTTGTTCGCCATATTTTGCGTTCCATTACTTCAGTCTTTTGTTCTACGGTTGATTTTCGAACAAATGTCATTGGTGGTGGCGCAGTCGTTAGGGGCATTTGTCGCAATGGTACCCCGGTACATTTGTGATCTGAATTATCAATTTGAGTTAGGATATTTTTAGCAATATGTTGAGAAGAGCTTTCTTCATTCACAGGTGGATAGGGGCTGCTTTGCTTTAACACTTTTATCAACTTTGTGGCACCCTCCTGAAGTGGAACACTTTTAGCTTGTTTATCTAAACTAATCGGACCTAATTTTAAAGAAGCTGCTTCTTGCGTTAGGCTTTCTTTTAGTGGATGGAGAAAATTTTCTTGCTTTATTTCTTTCATCTTATCTTTCAACCACATCTCCGTTCCTTCTTTCAATTTATTTTCATACGCCATATCTATCGTATCTCTGCCTTTGTCGGCGGCAATGATGCTTTCAGGTTCTATCTCATCGGAATTTTCTTGAGTTCCGGCAGTTGGTTCTTTTTCTTCTTCTTGGAGAGTCTCATTTTTATTCCTTCTACTGTTAAGATCGGCATCAGTTTCTAGCTCTATTCTCTGCTTTATCATCGCTTCTTGCATTTTAAATGGTTCATTAAAAGTGACTTCTGCTGATTTCTGTTGAATGTTAGAAAGTTTGGGAGCTCCTCTTTGGTATGCTTTTGTATCTGTTTTAATGTTTTTATCTTCAGCTGAACTAGATGATGTTGAATAAGAAGTCTCAATAACTTCTTTAGGACCATGGTCTAAGTATGCATCCAGGCGGTCTTCTTTCACTCTGCATTTACTTACGAGATCTTCTTCACCTCTCTTTATATTCGGAGGGTTTAGATTAGTAGCAATTTCATTATATGCTTTTTCTTTTACCTCAACTAGTTGACTGGATTCAGTTCGAGAATTACCTTGATAAATTTGCAGTGATAATCCGGGATCTGAAATGCCAACTTTCGTTAAATCAATTTTTACTAAATTGCCATCTCCACTGTCTTCCATATTGGTAACAGCAGAGTTTACTTTGGAGCCAGCATTAGAGAGTTCTGATAAAGTTTCTTTTGCACTTTCACCATCCGAAGCTGTCTTTTTTTCAATAGTTGTTGGTTCTCCTGGTAATGGCACAGTTGGTTTAGCATCTTTCTCGCTCAATTCAACAAAAGCCTCTGAAAAAGAGGCTTTTGAAACTTCATCTTCAACGGCAATCTGTTTGGTTGTAGATATTGGATCCTTTTTAGAAGATTGTTCACTTGATAACTGATTTTGAAGTTCTATCCTTGATTTGCTTTCAGCGGTGGCAGAAGTAGAGCTCGGAAGCTTTGGATTAGCAGTACTATCAGGATAAGTTACCTCAGATATTTTTGCAGAGTTACTCTCATCTGACTTAACACCAGATTGTTGATTGCTTTTATTCTCAGAAGTGTTCTTGATTGGAGGGAGGGCTTCCTCACCCGTGAAAATGGATTCTTCGGACATTAGTTCTGATTTGTCAAACTGAACTGTTTCTTTTGGAGTGATTCTTCCTCCTGCATCTCCTTTAAGTGCTCGTTTATCGATTCCTTGTGTCAGTTGTGGTGATACCTTTTCATTCTTCGTAGCAAGCAATTCATACTTCTCCTGTTTCGTAGTTACTTCTCCTTTTCCGTATTCTTTTATCGCCTCATCATCTAATATACCTTCCTTAATGCTCTCTGGAATAAATGGATTTTCAGTAGTAGAAGTAAGGTATTTACCTGTAGTGTTGCCCTCATTTTCATCTTCATTTAAAGGTAGCTCACTTATTGGAGGCTTTCCTATCATTCCACATTTCGTAAATGTATTAGACAGTTCAGATAGAGTCTCTATAGAGTCATTTTTATTTCTCAGTTCACTCCTAACTGGAACTCCAAGTTCGTGCTTAAGATGTTTCTCATGTGCAATGCTCAGGTATTCAGTACCTAAATTAGTGTCTGCGTTAAGCGTATTTGTCTTTGATTCATTTGATTGAGTTAATAAGTCTGCTAGAGCGGAGGAAGACGTTAGAGTTTCCTGCTTCATAGAACCTCCTACAACTTTCGTTCTCAAGGCCAACTGACTTTCTTCCGGTGATGCTCCGATTTCGAGGATCTTAGAGCCCATACTGTCATTCTTTTTTATCTCATCATCAATTAAATTTTGAATAGGTAGATCGATATTAAGTTCTCTTCCATCCATTTTTGAAAGGCGCGTTACTGAACTTTGGCTTACTAATTCAGGCTCATCAGAAATTGTTGCTTCTTCTCTTGGAGAATGAAAGGATCGTTGATCTAAGGCCGATAGACCTGACTGTGAGATACGACCGCCACTAGATGTCATTGTGTTATAACCTGATGTTCTGTCGGTCGCGATGAATAATTTTTGTTCATCTGATCTAGTTAAATAGTCAGGAGATTCAGATATTGATCGAGGAAAATCCGAATTGATAGATGATGACTTCATCAGCTCCGCCAAATTGTTTTTAGATTTTTCGTCTTTCCCTTCCAAGTCTGACGATTCCAGTCCGTGTTCATTACCTGCTGATTCATTCACGCGAAGATCCGAAGACGAAGATTCTCCTCTTGCATACATTTTCTTCCCCGATTCGGTTGAATATGGAAGTTCTGCGCTTTCTTGGATTTCTGAAACGCTTTGGTAGGCAGTTCCATCCTCTTCTACGGAGCGTTCTTGAATAGCCTCCAACGGCATATCGGCTAATACTGTTCTCATGCATGTTGGTGATTGTATTTTCGAACTTAAAGCATCAGCCTCTTTCGATATCATCTCTGAAAAGGCAGGCTGTTGATCATTGACCAGAGTGCTTCCGTTGTTTTTTCTTTTGGCCGGCTTTGGGGCTTCTATATTTGGTTCTACAATAGTATTCAGAATTGATGTGTCCTCCTGATCCTTTGTAATAATTGTGTGTTCGTCGTCATTCGGTGACGCAAGAGCATTAACATCAGCTTCCTGAACAATAGATACGCTATCGGGCGATGACCACCGCATTTCTCCCACGCTGTCACTTGTTGAACCGTTTTCGTTTGGGACGTGTGGTCCATCCTCAGTGTCGCTCGAGCTTCCAGTAAAGCCAATCTCCGATCTTGAGGAGAAATAATGTGAATCCGCTGAATATGGTTGATTGATACCCTGCAGACCAGATAAGGAATTATACGAAAATAGTAGTTCATTAATATCTAGTTGGCGATCGCTTTCAATATCGATCAGAAAACTGAAATTTGTGGAGGTGGCAATGGCCGGATTGACATTGTCGTCTGGTGCACTTTCATGTTCATAAATGGAGATATTGTCCTCATCACATTTTTGCATCATGATTTGGTCCTCATTTATTGTATTTTTTACATACATAGAAGCCTTGAATGTCTCCGTTTCTTCAAAATTTGTCACGAATTGTAGCTTCTTGGTTTTGACAGTCAAATCAGGTGGGTCATAGGCAGGAGCCCAAAATTCTAAATAAATTAAAAAATATCAAATCTTGTAAATGAGTCAATTAATAACATTATTTGTAATATTCACTAGTTAATAATGTTTCATTGGCTAATGTCCGGTATCCGATTCGAAAGATGCAAATGAGAACGTGAAGTAAAATGTAGGCAAGTTCATTTTTCCATATCCCCTCCCTTAAGACGGGAAAAGCATTTCCATCTTCAATCAAAAAGCCCTGTAGACTTAGTCATTCCCATCATATGCTTTCATATGCAACTGAGTAAAGATTTATGAAAAGAGTTTGCGGGAATTGAAGCCTTCCCTCTTGAAAAGTGGCATTTATCGGCGCAGTTTGATTTCTAAGCTGCAAAGAAATACCTGGAAATCTGATGAAACGAAGTTTTGGTACCAGCAAGACCATAGCTGTGAGATTAAAATAGCACCCTATAAGTGACTTTATACTTAAACATTCTGTGTAAATGGGTAACCTGTGCTAATCCGAACGAATGTTTAATCAGTGAATGCTTTTGAAGATAAACTCTTCCATATACTGTTTCTACCCCAGACATCTAAAGTGATTACAAGCATGATTTCTTGCAACGCATATAGGGACCAAGTGCAATTGGAATATTTTATTATAAATATTATGGGTGTGCGGTAGACTTACTTCCACTCTGTGCACCCTGGGCAACGTATACTCATACGACAAAAATGTCTATTTACTGGCAGTTAACTTCTGATCTCTAACCACCATGACTCCACTGTATGTCATATTCGAATACTTTCACAGTACTCACCTTACCTTTGTCTCTACCTTTGCGTCTGTCGGTCTGTCTCTCTCTCTCTTACATCTGTGAGTCACTCTTCTGTTTCCCCTCTCCACTTTTTTCCCTCTCTGATGTTTCTCCCCTCTGTGAATATTTATTTATTTATATCAAATGGCAGGCGTCTTGATGGTTATCATTAGCCCTTTAGTTGACTTCAGGCTTCACAGAGGGGAAGGAACATCAAATTGAAAAAATGTCGAGAGGGGGGGGGACAGAAGAGTTTTTCAAAAATGTAAGAGACAAACACAAAGGTTGAACAAAGGTGAGATGAGTACTGTGGAAGCTGTGTAATATGACATACAGTGTGGTGATGCTAGTTTGAAGTCAGAAGTCAGCTGTCGGTTAATAGACTTTTTTGCCATATGAGTAAACGTTGCCCAGGGTGCACCACGTGGAGGTAAGTCTATCGCAC